TGCTGCCTGTTACAGTGAAATGCCACGAGCAGCACTTTCTATTGTTTCATTTACTGATACTCTGCAGCCGATGTCATCAACATTTCCTGGGCGTGTGAAGCCAATTTAAGGCACTTCTCTGTCTGAAATTCTGTTACTCAAATTAGACTTTATTCTGAGCTTTGTTTTACCACAATCTGACCAGTAAGAACTGATGGAACTACAGCAGGTGATCTGATCTGTGCTGCTGAACAAGTCCCTCTCACATAAGCCTCACACTGATCACAGGCTCTTGAAATTGCGCTCTTTAAATCACTTTTGTATTTTTTCTTGAGTTGTCAAATGATCTTTACACTGTGTTTACTAATGTGTGAATTGTGTCACCATGGCAACTGATGAAAGTTGGCCATAGACATAGATGCAGAACACATTTTGGTCATAAAATATTCCTGGAGTACATGATCCTGGTGTTTTTATTTCACTATTTTGCCAGTTTAAAAAAATCCCATCCCTAATAATCCCCCTGTGAGTGACGTCACACTCACTTACTCCACCTCTTTATACTGTACACAGTCTGGAAAACTCACAGAAATATGTGAGCTCTCCTCTCCTCCTATCATCAACTGCTCTGCCTGCTCATCCCCCTCTCCTCTGGCCTCTCCTCCGCTCATCCCCGTTCCAATATTCACTGTTCTTTGTAAATCATTCAGCCAGTGCTCCGTGGTCAAAATGAAAGTGAAAGTAAATTAATTCTGAATATGTCCAGGTGAGAGGTGAGCAAAACTGAAATCCTCCTACAAAGTTTTGGCCAACTAAGTAGGCTAGTGTTTATGTCCATCTCTGCGTTTGATCCACCAAAAACTTTTGTAGCAGATGGCACATTTATTTAAATACATTTTAACTGTATTCTATTCTGTTGCGGGAGATGCACGGACCGGAGATGTGACAGCGTTGGTGTATATTAGAGGTTAGATCCATATTACTCTAAACAGCAATGTGGAACTGCAGAATTTTAACTGCAATAAATGTAGAATAATGATCTACGTTTGTTAGTTAAATACTAAATAATCCCCCCACACACACACACACACGCTCCCCTTTAGTCCCCCAGATGCCGCGTAGTTTAGCAGCTCTGTTTGAAATGTATGTGTTTAGGTGTTTAGTCCAACTTTAAATATTATCTCAGGGTGTAATCTTTTTTGTCTTTCTTGTTTGGAATCACCAAAATGTTTACAAACCTTTAAATTTCAATTTTGCATAATATGCCTCATGTAATTCATTTGTATGCATTCGTCTAAATACTTTTTAAGTAAATCTTCTTGGATCTGCATCTCACTGTCTTTTCCTTTTGTCTTGTTCTTTTGTTCAGTTCCAGCAGACAGTCCAAGGAGCTTCGTAAGTCAATCAAAGAGATCCAAAATCTCTATAAAGAAAAGCGAGACCAGCTGCTTCATAACATCAGTGAGGTAGAGAAAATATTACAACAAATTCATGAACTTGAGAAAAAGACAAGTACTGGGGAAATTGCTGCAATAGCCACTTTAGCTACTGGAGCAACTTTAGCTGTTATCTCTGCCCCACTAACGGGAGGAGCGAGTTTGGCTGCACTGGCATTAGGAGCAAGCGCTGGTATCTCCGGAGCTGCTGCCGGTCTTGGAGTGAATGCAACCCACAAAACAGAAAGAAAACAGGCAAAAGAGAAATGGCATGTAGCAGAAACAGAGTTCAAATGCACAGTGAAGAAACTGGAGACACTCCTGAACAATGTGAAGACAATCTGTGAGAAGCAGAGACAGAGCAACAAGGATGTAAACAACACAAAACTTCTGCATGAACTGGAAGTGGGAATCCAAAAGTTAAAAGGTCAAATGGAGTTCCAACAACGGAGCGGCATCGAAGAGGTGTCCATGTTAAGAGCTCTGGACGAGATGAAAACAGTTCAGAATGAACTTGATAATATCATGACTCTCTTTGAATGTACTCTGAGAAGACTGAACTATGAATAAACTGTATACTGAAAATATACAAAAAATATACAGAAAACACTTTAAAAATGACTATAATATACTACACAAATGTACAACAAATATATACAGATTTATATACAGACTAACAACTCACCCTTATATAACAGATAATACTCCCTACAACTGAACAACAACTCACCCTTATATAACAGATAATACTCCCTACAACTGAACAACAACTCACCCTTATATAACAGATAATACTCCCTACAACTGAACAACAACTCATCCCCAAAGCTGGAATAAAATCAACAAAAACCTGAAATCCGGCATGAAAAAAAGAACATGTCATTAAAAAATACAAAACATTAAAACAATTCTATTATGGCACCGCCCTGAATGACAAAAGCACACACCGGCGTACTCAGGACATTTCCTCGCACAGTTTTCATGGCAAGCACTTTAAATTTGGCCAAAGACACTAAACCCTTGTGCAAATAAAGATTATCAGTTCAATTTTGAACATGAATTTGGGTATGGTCATGGTGAAAAAATTCACAGGAGACATGAATTAATGAAAAGAATCACTGGAGGCTTATTTGTGATGAGGCACAAAGCGACAAAATCACAGGAGTCAGAAGTTGTCTCACTGGATTAAAAGGAGAAGTAACATATAATATACACTGATTTTGGTAGAGTTAGGCTTTCCTCTATTATTTCACACCAGTCTTTTGCTATCTGTGCTACTTATTTAGAATGTATTATTATAATTTACAATTTCTTCTCTTTGTTCTAATATATTGTGATTTATGAGCTCCTGTGTCCAAATCATTTCTCTTGTGTTTTTATTTTGTATTCTGCTCATGAATGATATGAGTTTTGTTTTGTAAATCTTTGTTGTAAAATAAAAGTAAATCAGCAGAATCAGAAAATGAAAATTGTAAATAAAAGTAAATAAGTAAAGTAATAAAAATAAGTAATAAAAATTGGTTTATTACTCTATTACTCTGCTCTATATCTACTTGGACTTCAGACTTTGAGGAGCACGCTGGTATGAAGTGATATGTTTTCTTTTATTTTTTCTCCTCGTAAGCGACCATATTTGCGTGTTCCTGATTGGCTCATCCACCTGTCAATCATTTGAAAATCTGCGCATTTGAAAAAACTGTCAGATTCACCTGTGACCAGACTCACAACGTCAGCAATTATTGGGGAAGCGTTTAAATTCGTTTTGTACTTTTGTACCAGCTAAAAAATTTTTGGGTGCGGTGCGTCACCGTGGTAACTACTGAACATTCCACTATAAACATACATGCAGGACACCCCCAGCCTGATGTCACTGCCAAGTTCCTTTATTCGTGTATTAAACGCCCTCCCTGTTTCCTCGATGTGTGATTTATTGCAGGACACGCAGGGTATTTCGTGTATGACATTACATTTATGCTCTGGTTCCAATTCCTGTTTAAATCAGATGACCAGACACGTCACAGCAAAATCACGAGACTCTGAGGAAGACGCTAGTGAGCAGTCGAAACTGTCAGGTATGAAAACAAACTCTTGGTCTGAAAAAAAGAACCTAATAACATAAATTATCGGAAGACCAAATGAACCTCATTGGACTACTGATATCACCTCGTCCCAGATTCATTCAAGCTGGACCAAGGCGGCGGCTTTGTTAATGCGTTCGTTCCAATAAACAGCGATAGTCAATACAAATTCTGTCATTCTATATGTATGACCTGCAGTTAAGTCTGTAACAATAATCAATAAATCAATTAATCGTACGATAACTTTTAATGAGCTTGATAACTTTTCCGGGAGCGATAAATTCTATTTGCAGCTTGTTTGTTTTCCTCGCTCTCTCTCGCTCCCAGAGACTGACTGTTAGAAGCTTCTGTCTCTCTCTGACTCCTCTCGTTTAACAATCGTAATGACGCTGTGTTTATCAGCACAGCGGATCCGCGCGCAGCCTGAGTGCAGAAAACGTCGCTGTCTGTGCGGCGAACATGAAGCCGCAACACAAGCGCCGCCGTCAGAGTGACAAAACGGTTCATCGTAGTGTGACAAAACAGGTCACGATGCCGAATCAGCACTGGTGAGCGGGACATGTCTTAGCGGTCCACATGCGTCAAATGCAGCGAGCAAAACACAAACGACGAGAAAAAACGTCCCAAACCCCAACAGCCGACATAAATCCAAACAAGAGCAACAGAACTAGCCTCGCCCCCAGGAGAACCCAAAATCCACTGAAATCCCACAAAACACCGACAGGATACCAGACAGAACAGTGGCTCCCTCATAGAGAAATAGGATCATGTGTCGCGGGTTAAAACGAACATTTCAATGACCAAAATGACGAGGCCACAGCAGCAGCCACAGAGACGAGACACAATATTCCAGTGTAAATCAGAGACTAAAATCACTTTTAAGGACAATTTTGTTATAGAGACTTAATAATCAATTGTATTTATTGTTTTGGTTGTGTTTGGTTCAACAATGGTTTATTCAAGTGGATTTTTGTGAACAAGTCGTCGCTGTAAACCAGACACATTAGACTGTGTTAACAAGTCTGTTTTATTTAGGCCTGTTGTTTGTGTTTGTCTTACACTTCCTGTGTTAAATGTTCTTTAGAAAGTCAAGTTTATTGATCATTGAGAAGATGTATTTGCATTTTTATTCCATGTTCATTATATTAGTTGAAATTGGTCTCAAAATGTCAATATTATCGTTTATCGCAATAAATTCTTGGTCAATTAATGGTCCAACAAAATCTGTTATCGTTATAGGCCTAGCCGCAGTATCGTGCCGGGGAACATCGGTGCCTTTCAGTTAGAGGTATCGCTTTTCCGCTGGGAAAATTAGCCACTGGGGAAAAGCAATAAGTTTTGAAAATAGAAGCATCGATGTTTCCCGGGGGAACATGTGGCAAGCGGTTTTCCCATGTCCATTTATAAACACAGTCTGTGTCTGGACCTGGACGAGTGAGGATCACACACACACACACACACACACACACACACACACACACACACACACACACTGTTGTTCATTTACCCCTGTGGCCAGCTCCTCTCTCTGCTGCCTCTTGGTGATCAGGTCCTGGGTGGACACCTCCAGCTCAAACTGTGTCAGCTCATGTTTCCTGCACACGGCTCTGAAAAACACAACACCTGCTTCAACACTGTTGCCATAGTAACAAAAGAGGGAGTATTATACTTCTGTGGGCTATTAATTGAAACACATGAACACATGTTTACATCATCATGTTCCTTTTATTGTTTTTCAAAATGCTCTATTCACTCAAAACAACAGATTTGCAAACACAAACAAACACATTTTTAAACATGCATGACTCGAAAAACATCTTCAGACGGGTTTTTGATGCCTGGAGAGGTTTAGTCCTGGTTTAGACCTGGTTTAGACCTGGTTTAGACCTGGTTTAGTCCTGGTTTAGTCCTGGTTTAGACCTGGTTTAGACCTGGTTTAGTCCTGGGTTAGTCCTAATTAAGACCTGGTTTAGACCTGGTTTAGTTCTGATTTAGACCTGATTTAGACCTGGTTTAGACCTGGTTTAGTCCTGGGTTAGTCCTAATTTAGACCTGGTTTAGACCTGGTTTAGTCCTGGTTTAGACCTGGTTTAGACCTGGTTTAGTCCTGGGTTAGTCCTAATTTAGACCTGGTTTAGACCTGGTTTAGTTCTGATTTAGACCTGGTTTAGACCTCTTTTAGTCCTGGTTTAGTCCTGGTTTAGACCTGGTTTAGTTCTGATTTAGACCTGATTTAGACCTGGTTTAGATCGGCTTTCATCCAGGTTTTTGATGCCTGGAGAGGTTTAGTCCTGGTTTATTCCTGATTTAGACCTGGTTTAGACCTGGTTTAGTCCTAGTATAGTCCTGTCATCTCTGGTTTAGTTCTGGTTTAGTCCTGGTTTAGTCCTGGTTCAGTTCTGGTCTGGTTCTGGTTCTGTTGTCGTGGTTCTGTTGCCGTGGTTACCTGAGGGCCTCGGCGTAGGACAGATATTCTTTGAGTTGGTCGGCGTAGTGCTCCTCCTCCTCCAGGATGTCGTCAATCGAAGCTGCAAACCTGAAAACACAAAACTTTATTAAACCAAAAACACAAACACCAAAAACAAAAACACAAAAAAACCCAACACCAAGTTACTGACTGGTTTAGACCTGACTTGGCTCTGATTCAGTCCTGGTTTAGTCCTATCATAGTCCTCGCTTATCCCTTGTTTAGACTTGGTCTAGACCTGGCTTAGCCCTGTTTTAGACCTGTTTTAGACCTGTTTTAGTCCTGGTTTAGTCCTGGTTTAGACCTGGTTTAGACCTGTTTTAGTCCTGGTTTAGTCCTGTTTTAGACCTGGTTTAGTCCTGTTTTAGTCCTGGTTTAGACCTGGTTCAGTCCTGGTTTAGTCCTGGTTTAGTCCTGTTTTAGACCTGGTTTAGTTCTGGTTTAGTCCTGTTTTAGTCCTGGTTTAGTCCTGTTTAGTCCTGGTTTAGTCCTGTTTTAGTCCTGGTTTAGTCCTGTTTTAGTCCTGGTTTAGTGGTTTAGTCCTGTTTAGTCCTGGTTTAGAGACCTGTTTTAGTCCTGGTTTAGTCCTGTTTTAGACCTGTTTTAGTCCTGGTTTAGTCCTGGTTTAGACCTGTTTTAGTCCTGGTTTAGTCCTGTTTTAGACCTGGTTTAGTCCTGGTTTAGTCCTGGTTTAGACCTGGTTTAGACCTGGTTTAGTCCTGTTTTAGACCTGGTTTAGTCCTGTTTTAGTCCTGGTTTAGTCCTGTTTTAGACCTGGTTTAGTCCTGGTTTAGTCCTGGTTTAGTCCTGTTTTAGACCTGGTTTAGTCCTGTTTTAGTCCTGGTTTAGTCCTGTTTTAGTCCCTGTTTAGACCTGTTTTAGTCCTGGTTTAGTCCTGTTTTAGTCCTGGTTTAGTCCTGGTTTTAGTCCTGGTTTAGTCCTGGTTTTAGTCCTGGTTTAGTCCTGTTTTAGTCCTGGTTTAGTCCTGGTTTAGTCCTGTTTTAGTCCTGGTTTAGACCTGGTTTAGTTCTGGTTTAGTCCTGGTTTAGACTCGTTTTAGACCTGTTTTAGATCTGGTTTAGTCCTGGTTTAGTCCTGGTTTAGTCCAGGTTTAGTCCTGTTGTACTCACGCGTCCATGTGGTGTCCTGCGCTCTGAAGTCCGTCTCCCATCTCTCTCTCGATGGCGCTCCACTCGCTGAAAACACAAAAACATCCTCAATTTAAAAAACTCTTTCTTTATTTATCCAACCACAACATCTGGGAGGGCATCTGACACATTTACACAAACCTGAAGACTCGTCCGTAGTTCCCGTGCACTTTGTAAACTCCGTAGAGCCGATCTGCCACTCTCTGAAAAGAAAGAAGGAGAAAGTAATCTAAAGGTGCACTGCGGAACCTTTCTGATCCACGGTCGGGTCGTCAAAAGTATCGAAAATCAGAACGGAAAGAAAAGAAAGCGTGTTTTTATTATGATGAGTATCACGTTTATCATCGAAACTTTGAAGGACAAACAAAAGCAAACAAAGCAACAACAAAAAAAAAACCCTCTCACACTCAAAAAGAACCAGCCTTTGCTACTGAAATTTAAGACATTTGTAAAAAAAAATAAGACTTGGACAACATCATTTAAGACGTTTTAAGGTCTTAATTTAGGAACATGAAATTTAAGACCTTTTTTAGACTTTTAAGACCCAACGGCTGCCCTGAGAAAGCGTCAAAACTGTCTTTTCGTGGACCGTGTACGAGCAAGTATTTGTATCTCTGCTGTTTCCTGTTGGTCTGTGGTTTGTTTAAACTGTTTTCCTCAACAGCGTCACATGACCGACTCACGAACCCAGAGAATCAGGAAAGAACGAGTCACAGTGACGTGTCCAATAGAGACTTTGCACCGTCACGTGTCGCCGTGGCAACAGTACCGCACACTATGTCACTGACTTCAGCAGCGTCGGAGAAACATGGGCAGGTTTTGTTGTGTATTTGGTTGTTCTAGACGCTCTGAAAGGAATAAAACGATTCGTTTCTTCACTGTTCCTCTGGAAATGACTCATCAGGATCAAACAAGGGAATNAGACCAGGGTTAGACCCAGGTTTTAGACCAGGTTTAGACCAGGTTTAGACCAGGTTTAGACAGGGTAAGACCAGGTTTAGACCAGGTTTAACCAGTTTAGACCAGGTTTAGACCAGGTTTTTAAGACCAGGTTTAAACCAGGTTTAGACCAGGTTTAGACCAGGTTTAGACCAGGTTTAGACCAGGTTTAGACCAGATTTAGACCAGGGTAAGACCAGGGTAAGACCAGGTTTAGACCAGGTTTAGACCAGGTTTAGACCAGGTTTAGCCAGGGTTTAGACCAGGTTTTAGACCAGGTTTAGACCAGGTTTAGACCCAGGTTTAGACCAGGTTTAGACCAGGTTTTTAGACCAGGTTTAGACCAGGTTTAGACCAGGTTAGACCAGGTTTTTACCAGACCAGGTTTAGACCAGGTTTAGACCAGGTTTAGACCAGGTAAGACCAGGGTTAGACCGGGTTTAGACCGGGTTTAGACCAGGTTTAGACCAGGTTAGACCAGGTTAGACCAGGTTTAGACCAGGTTTAGACCAGGTTTAGACCAGAGGTTAGACCAGGTTTAGACCAGGTTTTAGAAACCAGGGTTAAGACCAGGTTTAGGCCAGGTTTAGACCAGGTTTAGACCAGGTTTAGACCAGGTTTTAGACCAGGTTTAGACCAGGTAGACCAGGTTAAGACCAGGTTTAGGTTTAGGACCAGGTTTAGACCAGGTTTAGACCAAACAGGTTTAGACCAGGTTTAGACCAGGTTTAGACCAGGTAGACCAGGTTAGTTTAGACCAGTTTGAGACCAGTTAGACCAGGTTAGACCAGACCAGGTTAAGACCAGGTTTAGACCAGGTTTAGACCAGGTTTTGACAGGTTTAGACCAAGACCAGGTTTAGACCAGGTTTTAAACCAGGGTAAGAGACACGGGTAAGACCATATAACACGCGAACACACAGAGTGTGGTTCGCTGTTAATGGTCTTACCCGAGTGGTCTTACCCTGGTTTCAACCTGGTCTAAACCTGGTTTAAACCTGGTCTAAACCCTGGTCTTACCCTGGTCTAACCCTGGTCTAAACTGGTCTAAACCTGGTCTAACCTGGTCTAAACCTGGTCTAAACCTGGTCTAAACCTGGTCTAAACCTGGTCTAAACCTGGTCTAACCTGGTCTAAACCTGGTCTAAACCTGGTCTAAACCTGGTCTTACCCTGGTCTAAACCTGGTCTAAACCTGGTCTAAACCTGGTCTAAACTGGTCTTAAACCTGGTAAACCTGGTCTAAAACCTGGTCTAAACCCTGGTCTAAAACCTGGTCTAAACCTGGTCTAAACCTGTCTAAACCTGGTGGTCTAAAAACCTGGTCTAAACCTGGTCTCCTTAAACCTGGTCTAAACCTGGTCTAAACCTGGTCTAAACCTGGTCTAAACCTGGTCTAAACCTGGTCTAAACCTGGTCTCTAAACCTGGTCTAAACCTGGTCTAAACCTGGTCTAAACCTGGTCTTAAACCTGGTCTAAACCTGGTCTAACCTGGTCTAAACCTGGTCTAAACCTGGTCTAAACCCTGGTCTAAACCTGGTCTAAACCTGGTCTAAACCTGGTCTAAACCTGGTCTAAACCTGGTCTAAACCTGGTCTAAAAACCTGGTCTAAAACCTGGTCTAAAAAAACCTGGTCTAAACCTGGTCTAAACCTGGTCTAAACCTGGTCTAAACCTGGTCTAAACCTGGTCTAAACCTGGTCTAAAACCTGGTCTAAACCTGGTCTTAAACCTGGTCTAAACCTGGTCTAAACCTGGTCCCTGGTCTAAAACCTGGTCTAAACCTGGTCTAAACCTGGTCTAAACCTGGTCTTAAACTAAACCTGGTCTAAACCTGGTCTAAAACCTGGTCTAAACCTGGTCTAAACCTGGTCTAAACCTGGTCTCTGGTCTAAACCTGGTCTAAACCTGGTCTAAACCTGGTCTAAACCTGGTCTAAACCTGGTCTTACCCT